TAGCGAGAAAATATTTGGAGTAACGAGAAAAGAATAACTGTGACCAGAGACCATATGACATTCACAAAACTTGAAAAACAGAAATTATTTGACGTAACGAGAACATATTCAAAGACACGAAAAGAAATTAAAGATTTCAAGTTTGGGCAATAAGTTTGAAAAAATAAAAAATACCAAACTAAAATTGCGCAAATATAAGCAAAGTAACGAGAAAAATCTAGAATTTGTTAGTTTCTCAAAAGTAGACAGATGGTTGAAACAGGGATAGATTTCAGTCCCAATATGTTTTTTTGCTACCAAACTGGCGCCAGAGGAATTTATTTAAATATGTATTTGAAGGTACAAAAAGATGCAATGACCCATTGCCACTTGTTCTTTTAGAAACTACATACAGGCACCACAGAACAACGTGTGTGTATTCTGGCCGTTCATGTGTAGTGTCCACATGCAGCACTGACCCTTGGGCTCACATATACCCCCTCCCTACAAACCCGGGTGACGTATATAGTGGTAATGACTGACCTCAGATTGCTCGCTGCTCTCGTGTTTCAATGTGCTGTGACAGTATGTTCTATCCGTGTAAAACGAACCTTTAAACGTTAGCCGATGTAGCAAAGGATCTGGGTAACAGCTAGCAGTGAATAGAAATTCTCTTAGCTTCCTGTCGCCTCAACTGAGATACTTAAAACAATACAATACAAAACAATATACTAGGAGAAGTCTCTAATTAGAATGTGCTGCTCTTAACAACGCGATGAATACATCTTACATAAGAGCAGTAGCAGTACGTGAAATATGAGACACTATATACACCAACAGGCGTGACGCTATATACACCAACAGGCGTGACGCTATACACACCAACAGGCGTGATGCTATATACATCAACAGGCGTGACACTATATACACCATATGAATAGAAATTCTCTTAGCTTCCTGTCGCCTCAACTGAGATACTTAAAACAATACAATACCAAACAATATACTAGGAGTAGTCTCTAATTAGAATGTGCTGCTCTTAACAACGCGATGAATACGGCTTACATAAGAGCAGTAGCAGTTCATGAAATATGAGACACTATATACACCAACAGGCGTGACGCTATGCACACCAACAGGCGTGACGCTATATACACCAACAGGCGTGACGCTATACACACCAACAGGCGTGACGCTATATACACCAACAGGCGTGACGCTATACACACCAACAGGTGTGACACTGTATGCACCAACAGGCGTGACACTATAAACACCAACAGGCGTGACACTATAAACACCAACAGGCGTGACACTATAAACACCAACAGGCGTGACACTATAAACACCAACAGGCGTGATACTACTCCTGCATGACTCCTCACATCCTGACTTGTCTCATGGGTACATGTGACAACATGCTTGATAGTGGTTGGAACAAACAGCTTGTTTTATGGGTATATGTGACAACATGCTTGATAGTGGTTGGAACAAACAGCTTGTTTAATGGGTATATGTGACAACATGCATGATAGTGGTTGGAACAAACAGCTTGTTTCATGGGAGATGTGACAACATGCTTGATAGTGGTTGGAACAAACAGCTTGTTTTATGGGTATATGTGACAACATGCTTGATAGTGGTTGGAACAAACAGCTTGTTTTATGGGTATATGTGACAACATGCTTGATAGTGGTTGGAACAAACAGCTTGTTTTATGGGTATATGTGAAAAAATACCTGATAGTGGTTGGAACAAACAGCTTGTGTTATGGGTATATGTAACAACATGCTTGATAGTGGTTGGAACAAACAGCTTGTTTTATGGGTATATGTGACAAAATGCATGATAGTGGTTGGAACAAACAGCTTGTTTTATGGGTGTATGTGACAACATGCCTGATAGTGGTTGGAACAAACAGCTTGTTTTATGGGTATATGTGACAAAATGCATGATAGTGGTTGGAACAAACAGCTTGTTCTATGGGTATATGTGACAACATGCTTGATAGTGGTTGGAACAAATAACTTGTTTTATGGGTATATGTGACAACATGCTTGATAGTGGTTGGAACTAACAGCTTGTTTTATGGGTATATGTGACAACATGCTTGATAGTGGTTGGAACAAACAGCTTGTTTTATGGGATATGTGACAACATGCATGATAGTGGTTGGAACAAACAGCTTGTTTTATGGGTATATGTGACAACATGCTTGATAGTGGTTGAATCGAACAGCTTGGTTCATGGATTCATGTGACAAAATGCCTGATAGTGGTTGGAACAAATAGCTTGTTTCATGGGTATATGTGAGAACATGCATGATAGTGGTTGGAACAAACAGCTTGTTTTATGGGTATATGTGGCAACATGCATGATAGTGGTTGAATCGAACAGCTTGTTTCATGGATTCATGTGACAAAATGCCTGATAGTGGTTGGAACAAACAGCTTGTTTCATGGGTACATGTGAGAACATGCTTGATAGCGGTTGGAACAAACATCTTGTTTCATGGGTATATGTGGCAACATGCTTGATAGTGGTTGGAACAAACAGCTTGTTTTATGGGTATATGTGAGAACATGCATGATAGTGGTTGGAACAAACAGCTTATTTTATGGGTATATGTGAGAACATGCATGATAGTGGTTGGAACAAACAGCTTGTTTTATGGGTATATGTGACAACATGCCTGATAGTGGTTGGAACAAACAGCTTATTTTATGGGATATGTGGCAACATGCATGATAGTGGTTGGAACAAACAGCTTGTTTCATGGGTATATGTGACAACATGCTTGATAGTGGTTGGAACAAACAGCTTGTTTTATGGGTATATGTGACAAAATACCTGATAGTGGTTGGAACAAACAGCTTGTTCTATGGGTATATGTGACAACATGCTTGATAGTGGTTGGAACAAACAACTTGTTTTATGGGTATATGTGACAACATGCTTGATAGTGGTTGGAACTAACAGCTTGTTTTATGGGTATATGTGACAACATGCATGATAGTGGTTGGAACAAACAGCTTGTTTTATGGGATATGTGGCAACATGCTTGATAGTGGTTGGAACAAACAGCTTGTTTTATGGGTATATGTGACAACATGCTTGATAGTGGTTGAATCGAACAGCTTGTTTCATTGATTCATGTGACAAAATGCATGATAGTGGTTGGAACAAACAGCTTGTTTCATGGGTACATGTGAGAACATGCATGATAGTGGTTGGAACAAACAGCTTGTTTTATGGGTATATGTGGCAACATGCATGATAGTGGTTGGAACAAACAGCTTGTTTTATGGGTATATGTGACAACATGCATGATAGTGGTTGGAACAAACAGCTTGTTTTATGGGTGTATGTGACAACATGCTTGATAGTGGTTGGAACAAACAGCTTGTTTCATGGATACCTGTGAGAACATGCATGATAGTGGTTGGAACAAACAGCTTGTTTCATGGGTATATGTGAGAACATGCATGATAGTGGTTGGAACAAACAGCTTGTTTTATGGGTATATGTGGCAACATGCTTGATAGTGGTTGAATCAAACAGCTTGTTTTATGGGTATATGTAAGAACACGCATGATAGTGGCTGGAACAAACAGCCGCGTGTGCAGTGAGGTTGTACACGAGCTCTGTGCAATTGACGTAATTTCTTCCTAACTCGACAAGTGTTGACTTCCGACTCGCTGAGTACACGTTGCCGTCTTACACTGTATTTATATGACTGTTCTTCATAGTCGCCTACTGACTGACTTCCGGTCATGTCTACTGTTTCCGGTTGGTGCATGTCTGGGTCACTCACAAGACCACGCACGTCCTTCTGCTTACACGTGACACGATGACGCGGACATACAAAACTAGGGATACATCATTTGTTCATCTCACATACAGGTGCACGTGACACGATGATATGGACATACACACACCTATGTATACATGTTTTGTTCACCACTGATACAAGTACACGTGACACGATGATATGGACATACACACACCTATGTATACATGTTTTGTTCACCACTGATACAAGTACACGTGGCACGATGATATGGACATACACACACCTATGTATACATGTTTTGTTCATCACGGATACAGGTGCACGTGACACGATGATATGGACATAAACACAACTATATATACATGTTTTGTTCATCACAGATTCAGGTGCACGTGACACGATGATATGGACATACACACAACTATATATACATGTTTTGTTCATCACAGATACAGGTGTACGTGACACGATGATATGGACATACACACAACTATATATACATGTTTTGTTCATCACGGATACAGGTGTACGTGACACGATGATATGGATATACACTCAACTATGGATGCATGTTTTCTCGATTACAGAGGTATAGATTTATTACTGGATTTCTTGAACCACCTGTAACCTGGAGATAGCGTGGCCTGGATCGCGAGACAATGAAGTTGCAGTAGTTTTATCCCATACCAATACGACTCAAGATAGCGTGACACCTTTACTGCTGGGTGAACAGGGGCATATTGAAAACAAGGGCACTTGCCTAAAGAGACACAACATGTGCTACATGTGTATGATGTGTCCATGTGCTTCAGTGTGGAGCACGACTCAAGACCCAGAAATTGTCTGGAGTCCAGTTGCGAAACGCATGAATGTCCCTTGCGACATTTATCCATAATCATGTAAACAGACTATAAATGTTAACATCGGCACTGAGTCCGGCCTATGAGCAGAATAGACCTGAACGTACACAGTCCCTTCGCTATGATCCAATACTCATCCTTCTGCACTAATCACAATGAAACTCAATGCAATGAGAAAACACAATATGATGCGCAGCACTAACATACAATAGCGTAAAAAAACTTCATATCTGTCATTATTATAAATTAGTCATGTGTAAGATCCACTTGATTGATATATCTAACGTGTAGCTTGTGGGAATACCCACAGTCGACCCTTGTGCTTCTTGACTTTTTCTCACATATTGTCGTCATGGTGCTTGTTTCAGTACGTCACGGTCAGAACCTTATCTGGGCTCAAGTCCCGTCTCTGAGGAATTCCGTGTCTCGGTTGGTGGGGATTGAAGGAGACCCTGACGAGTGGGTAGTTAGCGGTAAGGTGAAGATCAGGCACATCAGCGCCCCACATCTTGGTTGGGAGTTTTCTGCTCTGGCTTTCGACTACACCACACAAACATTGATATGGAGCGAGGCTATGAACAAACGAATACAGAGCCTCGTTCTGAACGGCAGTACCGACACCTCCGACGTCTTCACGGGAACGTCGCCAGAGGTGTACGGCATGGCTGTGGATTGGCAGTCCGGAAACCTATACTGGACAGACGCCCTGTATAACTGGATAATCATGGCGCCCCTTCACGCAAGGAACAAGACCAGAACATACAAGATCATCATCCAGACGGGCCTGGATTCTCCACATGGCATAGCCGTACACACAACAAGAGGGTGAGTCGAGCTACGCCCCAGGTAAAATAGTTAGAGAGTGGGATGTGACCAAAGGTTAGATGAAAGTGGGTGAGTTGGGTTTGTGTCGCTTCAAGAGCAGAATAATGTACATTCAGTAAAAAGGTGAGTTTTGAGTGGGTTGCCTACAACACAGATAGTGTACATATACGAAGAGGGTGAGTTGAGACAGGGTTGCCTCCAACATATGAATGTGTACATATATAAAGGGGGTGAGTTGAGACAGGGTTACCTCCAACATATGAATGTGTACATATAGAAAGAGGGTGAGTTGAGACAGGGTTGCCTCCAACATATGAATGTGTACATATAGAAAGAGGGTGAGTTGAGACAGGGTTACCTCCAACATATGAATAATGTGTACATATAGAAAGAGGGTGAGTTGAGACAGGGTTGCCTCCAACATATGAATGTGTACATATAGAAAGAGGGTGAGTTGAGACAGGGTTGCCTCCAACATATGAATGTGTACATATAGAAAGAGGGTGAGTTGAGACAGGGTTGCCTCCAACATATGAATGTGTACATATACAAAGAGGGTGAGTTGAGACAGGGTTGCCTCCAACATATGAATGTGTACATATAGAAAGAGGGTGTGAGTTGAGACAGGGTTGCCTCCAACATATGAATGTGTACATATAGAAAGAGGGTGAGTTGAGACAGGGTTGCCTCCAACATATGAATGTGTACATATAGAAAGAGGGTGAATTGAGACAGGGTTTCCTCCAACATATGAATGTGCGCATATAGAAAGAGGGTGAGTTGAGACAGGGTTGCCTCCAACATATGCTCCAACATATGAATGTGTACATATAGAAAGAGGGTTGCCTCCAACATATGAATGTGAGTTGAGACAGGGTTAGGAATGAGAAAGAGGGTGAGTTGAGACAGGGTTGCCTCCAACATATGAATGTGTACATATAGAAAGAGGGTGAGTTGAGACAGGGTTGCCTCCAACATATGAATGTGTACATATAGAAAGAGGGTGAGAATTGAGACAGGGTTGCCTCCAACATATGAATGTGTACATATAGAAAGAGGGTGAGTTGAGACAGGGTTGCCTCCAACATATGAATGTGTACATATAGAAAGAGGGTGAGTTGAGACAGGGTTGCCTCCAACATATGAATGTGTACATATAGAAAGAGGGTGAGTTGAGACAGGGTTGCCTCCAACATATGAATGTGTACATATACAAAGAGAGTTGAGACAGGGTTGCCTCCAACATATGAATGTGTACATATAGAAAGAGGGTGAGTTGAGACAGGGTTACCTCCAACATATGAATGTGTACATATAGAAAGAGGGTGAGTTGAGACAGGGTTGCCTCCAACATATGAATGTGTACATATAGAAAGAGGGTGAGTTGAGACAGGGTTGCCTCCAACATATGAATGTGTACATATAGAAAGAGGGTGAGTTGAGACAGGGTTGCCTCCAACATATGAATGTGTACATATAGAAAGAGGGTGAGTTGAGACAGGGTTGCCTCCAACATATGAATGTGTACATATAGAAAGAGGGTGAGTTGAGACAGGGTTGCCTCCAACATATGAATGTGTACATATAGAAAGAGGGTGAGTTGAGACAGGGTTGCCTCCAACATATGAATGTGTACATATAGAAAGAGGGTGAGTTGAGACAGGGTTGCCTCCAACATATGAATGTGTACATATAGAAAGAGGGTGAGTTGAGACAGGGTTGCCTCCAACATATGAATGTGTACATATAGAAAGAGGGTGAGTTGAGACAGGGTTACCTCCAACATATGAATGTGTACATATAGAAAGAGGGTGAGTTGAGACAGGGTTACCTCCAACATATGAATGTGTACATATAGAAAGAGAGACAGGGTTGGTGTACATATAGAGTTGAGACAGGGTTGCCTCCAACATATGAATGTGTACATATAGAAAGAGGGTGAGTTGAGACAGGGTTGCCTCCAACATATGAATGTGTACATATAGAAAGAGGGTGAGTTGAGACAGGGTTGCCTCCAACATATGAATGTGTACATATAGAAAGAGGGTGAGTTGAGACAGGGTTGCCTCCAACATATGAATGTGTACATATAGAAAGAGGGTGAGTTGAGACAGGGTTGCCTCCAACATATGAATGTGTACATATAGAAAGAGGGTGAGTTGAGACAGGGTTGCCTCCAACATATGAATGTGTACATATAGAAAGAGGGTGAGTTGAGACAGGGTTGCCTCCAACATATGAATGTGTACATATAGAAAGAGGGTGAGTTGAGACAGGGTTGCCTCCAACATATGAATGTGTACATATAGAAAGAGGGTGAGTTGAGACAGGGTTGCCTCCAACATATGAATGTGTACATATAGAAAGAGGGTGAGTTGAGACAGGTTTGCCTACAACTGTACAACATATGATAGTGCACATATAGAAAGAGGGTGAGCCTGGCTTGTGTTTCGTTCGAGACATGTCATTTTCCAGATAGACAGAGACAGACAGACTATGTCACCCCTAACAAAATGCAATTCAAATGCAGTAAGGTGAAGAATTCTGACACGTTCAATGCTTTTAAGGCTGGACTTGTCACGTTAGAGATAAAAGAATGATCGGCATTTTGCAGGGGATGACCAGTCGGTTTTGTGTGTTTGAGCGCAAGTTGCGTGCGGGGACATATTTTAGGAGTTCAGACAATCTGCAATTGTCGTCAACATAGTTAATTAACATTGATTGAGTGAGTTTAGGTTTACGCCTCACTCAGCAATATTCCAGCTATATGGCGGCGGTCTGTAAATAATCCAGTCTGGACCAGACACTCCAATGATCAACATAATGAGCATCGATCTACGAAATTGGGAACCGATGACATGTGTCAACCAAGTCAGCGAGCATGACAACCCGATCCTGTTCGTCGTCTCTTACGACAAGCATGGGTTAATGTAGATCAATTCTTATCCGAATCTCCACGGCTCAGGTAGTTAAGAACACGGAGGTAGTAATAGATGTAGTCTGTCTCACAGTCCCTGAACCACATTAATTTCCCTACTGCCAAGCCCTCTCTGCAGTGCTAAAGCCCTAAATAAAGCAAGTCTAGATTTCCTCAGGTTCTGAATCTCTGGTCTCCCTAGGGCTCCTTTTCAATATAAATGGGCTTGTTTGTTACTATCAAAATTATATATATTCAGAGACTAAGCCTTAGTCTATAATAGATGCTACTTTTATTGCTCCTTTCTGTCCTAGTAAAAAGACCTTATAACCATCGGTAATTCGTGTAACGTGACGTTGGATCACGTGACGTTGTTATTCCTGGATATTTCAGACTACTCATATGGTCGGATTTTGGCGAGCGTCCGCGGATCGAGATGTCTGACCTGCTGGGGGGTGACCGCCATGTGTTGGTTGACCAGAGTCTGGAGCATCCCCGGGCTATCACTCTGGATGGAGATACCTTGTACTGGGTGGACAGCCAGAAGGACACGGTGGAGGCCGTCAACATTGACGGCACTGAACGGCGGATCGTCGTCGTACATTCAGGGTCCAATTTCTTCGGCATAGCAGCCTATGGGGTAAGTATAATGTTATTAACACTCAACAATTGGGCTATAGAGGACATCCAACGTATTTCAAAGTGGCCGTCCACTTTACATCAACCAACAGTGTTAAATATGGAACGGTACACACTTTTATCTAGTCACACAATTTTCACATTTTTCGTTGGCTCAGATTGGTTATTATTTCAACTGTCATTCACACGCACTGACAATCGCTGTTTCTCTTGCTATTTCAGGACTATCTGTTTGTAACCGAGCAGAGTAAAGGCCACCTTAAAATCGTAGACAAGGACGACGGCCAAAATAAAATCAGCTACCGTCTTGGTTATATCCCTTACGACATCATCATGTATACCAACTACACAACAGGGTCATCACGTACGTATATCGCGTCTACTCGACACAGTTGTATATGTCATCATGTACGTAAGTCACAACTACACGACAAAGTCAGCACGTACGTATGTCACAACTACACATTATGGTCATCACGTACGTATGTCACAACTACACATAACATGGTCATCACGTACGTATGTCACAACTACACATTATGGTCATCACGTACGTAAGTCACAACTACATTATACACGTATGTCACAACTATGGTCATCACGTACGTATGTCACAACTACACAACATGGTCATCACGTACGTATGTCACAACTACACATTATGGTCATCACGTACGTAAGTCACAACTACACATTATGGTCATCACGTACGTATGTCACAACTACACATTATGGTCATCACGTACGTATGTCACAACTACACAACATGGTCATCACGTACGTATGTCACAACTACACACACATTATGGACATCACGTACGTATGTCACAACAACACACAATGGTCATGGACATCACGTACGTATGTCACAACTACACAACATGGTCATCACGTACGTATGTCACAACTACACATTATGGTCATCACGTACGTATGTCACAACTACACACCATGGACATCACGTACGTATGTCACAACTACACATCATGGACATCACGTACGTATGTCACAACTACACACCATGGACATCACGTACGTATGTCACAACTACACACCATGGACATCACGTACGTATGTCACAACTACACACCATGGTCATCAGGTACGTATGTCACAACTACACACCATGGTCATCAGGTACGTATGTCACAACTACACACCATGGTCATCAGGTATGTATGTCACAACTACACAACATGGTCCTAACGTACGTAAGTCACAACTACACACCATGGACATCACGTCTGCATGACGGGGCCTTGTTGATACTTCACGTCTATTCTAAATACCATTGATCACCTAAGCATGTACACACTTCTAAAAGGAACCACGTACTTAGCCAACTGCTACAACACAACGGACTGGGATATTGTCATGTAGCTGAGTATGTATTCATAAGTGTGTCTTTTCAGTGACTACTGCGTCTGTTCGCACACTTGATAGGATGGAAACAATCTGTAATCGTTCTATTTATCACGTGTGCAGACAGGTGCGACATGCTGCAGTGTGAACAGTTCTGCGTGGACATGCCCGACCCAGGCGCCAGATGTATTTGCGGGGAGGGATTCAACATCACCGACGATGGTCGCTCTTGTGAATGTGAGAGTCTTATCTTATACAAAGCGGTGGTACCATAACAAGAGTTAGAAAAGTGCAGTTAAAGTATAAACAAACTCAGTGGACATGGCAGTGATGGAGTTTCGATTTCTTTAGAGCTAATTATTTATTTCGGGCTTGCTATTACTGGACTTGATTGCCAAAGGAATTTTCAGCAACGTCGTCTTTGCCTTATCTATTTCTTTCAGTGACGGAGCAGTTCGTTCAGCCCTCGCATATCTACGCCGTGCACGACGCCATCTGTCACTACCCCGCCAACGTGGCCGACATGTCGCTCCTTAACGTCACTCTAGACAAACAGTGCTTCCTGGACAAACGCCATGGCTACCTGGCCTTAGCTTTCGATGCCAGGGAAAACTTTCTCTATTACTCTGAAAACAACACGAAAACTATCAGCAGGATAAACCTTGAGGTTGGAGCTACAGCGGAGACGGTAGCTGGTGGAACTGGAGTTGTGGCAGGTGAGCTACAGTAGGGGCAATAGCTTGTAGCCCTGGAGTTGTGGCAGGTGAGCTACAGTAGGGGCAATAGCTTGTAGCCCTGGAGTTGTGGCAGGTGAGCTACAGCAGGGGCAATAGCTTGTAGCCCTGGAGTTGTGGCAGGTGAGCTACAGCAGGGGCAATAGCTTGTAGCCCTGGAGTTAAATCAGGTGACCTATCTCAGAGACTCTACCCGGTGGAGCTGGTGCTCTGTCAGAGGTGTGAATGGTGGGACAATAGCGGATGGCCCCTGGGGTTGTATCAGGTCAGCTTCAGCAAAGAGGATGACCTACGAAACTGTGATTGTCTGTGCTTGATTAGGCTTCAGCCAGAGCTGGATGAAGGGAGCACTGAATATATAGTAAAGTGGGCGTCAGTGCACGGTATAGGTCTCTGTCTGGACAGGGTGAGGAGCGAGCTGAGAATGCAACATAGCGCAATGTTTGTGCATGCTATAGGCATATAAATTACTGAGTATACAATGATTGTCTGTATATGTTCTAGGCGACTGTCTGTAGTAGTGTACTGAGTATACAGTAGAGTGCAATGCTTGTCTGTGTCTGTTCTAGGCGACTGTCTGTAGTAGTGTACTGAGTATACAGAAGAGTGCAATGCTGTGTCTGTTCTAGGCGACTGTCTGTAGTAGTGTACTGAGTATACAGAAGAGTGCAATGCTGTGTCTGTTCTAGGCGACTGTCTGTAGTAGTGTACTGAGTATACAGAAGAGTGCAATGCTGTGTCTGTTCTAGGCGACTGTCTGTAGTAGTGTACTGAGTATACAGAAGAGTGCAATGCTGTGTCTGTTCTAGGCGACTGTCTGTAGTAGTGTACTGAGTATACAGTAGAGTGCAATGCTTGTCTGTTCTAGGCGACTGTCTGTAGTAGTGTACTGAGTACACAGTAGAGTGCAATGCTGTGTCTGTTCTATGCGACCTTCTGTAGTAGTGTACTGAGTATACAGAAGAGTGCAATGCTTTGTCTGTTCTAGGCGACTGTCTGTAGTAGTGTACTGAGTATACAGAAGAGTGCAATGCTTGTCTGTTCTAGGCGACTGTCTGTAGTAGTGTACTGAGTATACAGAAGAGTGCAATGCTGTGTCTGTTCTAGGCGACTGTCTGTAGTAGTGTACTGAGTTTACAGTAGAGCGCAATGCTGTGTCTGTTCTATGCGACCTTCTGTAGTAGTGTACTGAGTATACAGTAGAGTGCAATGCTGTGTCTGTTATAGGCGACTGTCTGTAGTAGTGTACTGAGTATACAGAAGAGTGCAATGCTGTGTCTGTTCTAGGTGACAGTCTGTAGTAGTGTACTGAGTATACAGTAGAGTGCCATGCTTGTCTGTTCTAGGCGACTGTCTGTTGTAGCGTACTGAGCATACAGAAGAGTGCAAATGCTGTGTCTGTTTTAGGCGACTGTCTGTAGTAGTGTACTTAGTATACAGAAGAGTGCAATGCTATGTCTGTTATAGGCTACTGTCTGAAGTAGTGTACTGAGTATACAGTAGAGTGCCATATTGTGTCTGTTCTAGGCGACTGTCTGTAGTAGTGTACTGAGTATACAGTAGAGTGCAATGCTTGTCTGTTCTAGGCGACAGTCTGTAGTAGTGTACTGAGTATACAGAGGAGTGCAATGCTTGTCTGTTCTAGGCGACTGTCTGTTGTAGTGTACTGAGTATACAGAAGAGTGCAATGCTATGTCTGTTCTAGGCGACTGTCTGAAGTAGTGTACTGAGTATAAAGTAGAGCGCCATATTGTGTCTGTTCTAGGCGACTGTCTGTAGTAGTGTACTGAGTATACAGTAGAGTGCAATTCTGTGTCTGTTCTAGGCGACTGTCTGTAGTAGTGTACTGAGTATACAGAAGAGTGCAATGCTGTGTCTGTTCTAGGCGACTGTCTGTTGTAGTGTACTGAGTATACAGTAGAGTGCCATGCTGTGTCTGTTCTAGGCGTCTGTCTGTTGTAGTGTACTGAGTATAAAGTAGAGTGCCATATTGTGTCTGTTCTAGGCGACTGTCTGTAGTAGTGTACTGAGTATACAGAAGAGTGCAATGCTGTGTCTGTTCTAGGCGACTGTCTGTAGTAGTGTACTGAGTATACAGAAGAGTGCAATGATTGCCTGTTCTGGGCGACTGTCTGTAGTAGTGTACTGAGTATACAGAAGAGTGCAATGATTGTCTGTTCTAGGCGACTGTCTGTAGTAGTGTACTGAGTATACAGTAGAGTGCAATGCTGTGTCTGTTCTAGGCGACTGTCTGTAGTAGTGTACTGAGTATACAGAAGAGTGCAATGCTTTGTCTGTTCTAGGCGACTGTCTGTAGTAGTGTACTGAGTATACAGAAGAGTGCAATGCTGTGTCTGTTCTAGGCGACTGTCTGTAGTAGTGTACTGAGTATACAGAAGAGTGCAATGCTGTGTCTGTTCTAGGCGACTGTCTGTAGTAGTGTACTGAGTATACAGAAGAGTGCAATGCTGTGTCTGTTCTAGGCGACTGTCTGTAGTAGTGTACTGAGTATACAGAAGAGTGCAATGCTTGTCTGTTCTAGGCGACTGTCTGTAGTAGTGTACTGAGTATACAGAAGAGTGCAATGCTGTGTCTGTTCTAGGCGACTGTCTGTAGTAGTGTACTGAGTATACAGTAGAGTGCAATGCTGTGTCTGTTCTAGGCGACTGTCTGTAGTAGTGTACTGAGTACACAGTAGAGTGCAATGCTGTGTCTGTTCTAGGCGACTATCTGTAGTAGTGTACTGAGTATACAGAAGAGTGCAATGCTTTGTCTGTTCTAGGCGACTGTCTGTAGTAGTGTACTGAGTATACAGAAGAGTGCAATGCTTGTCTGTTCTAGGCGACTGTCTGTAGTAGTGTACTGAGTATACAGAAGAGTGCAATGCTGTGTCTGTTCTAGGCGACTGTCTGTAGTAGTGTACTGAGTATACAGTAGAGTGCAATGCTTGTCTGTTCTAGGCGACTGTCTGTAGTAGTGTACTGAGTACACAGTAGAGTGCAATGCTGTGTCTGTTCTAGGCGACCTTCTGTAGTAGTGTACTGAGTATACAGTAGAGTGCAATGCTGTGTCTGTTATAGGCGACTGTCTGTAGTAGTGTACTGAGTATACAGAAGAGTGCAATGCTGTGTCTGTTCTAGGTGACAGTCTGTAGTAGTGTACTGAGTATACAGTAGAGTGCCATGCTTGTCTGTTCTAGGCGACTGTCTGTTGTAGCGTACTGAGTATACAGAAGAGTGCAAATGCTGTGTCTGTTCTAGGCGACTGTCTGTAGTAGTGTACTTAGTATACAGAAGAGTGCAATGCTATGTCTGTTATAGGCTACTGTCTGAAGTAGTGTACTGAGTATACAGTAGAGTGCCATATTGTGTCTGTTCTAGGCGACTGTCTGTAGTAGTGTACTGAGTATACAGTAGAGTGCAATGCTTGTCTGTTCTAGGCGACAGTCTGTAGTAGTGTACTGAGTACACAGAAGAGTGCAATGCTCTGTCTGTTCTAGGCGACTGTCTGTTGTAGCGTACTGAGTATACAGAAGAGTGCAATGCTATGTCTGTTCTAGGCGACTGTCTGAAGTAGTGTACTGAGTATAAAGTAGAGTGCCATATTGTGTCTGTTCTAGGCGACTGTCTGTAGTAGTGTACTGAGTATACAGTAGAGTGCAATTCTGTGTCTGTTCTAGGCGACTGTCTGTAGTAGTGTACTGAGTATAGAGAAGAGTGCAATGCTGTGTCTGTTCTAGGCGACTGTCTGTAGTAGTGTACTGAGTATACAGTAGAGTGCCATGCTGTGTCTGTTCTAGGCGTCTGTCTGTAGTAGTGTACTGAGTATACAAAAGAGTGCAATGATTGTCTGTTCTAGGCGACTGTCTGTAGTAGTGTACTGAGTATACAGTAGAGTACAATGCTGTGTCTGTTCTAGGCGACTGTCTGTAGTAGTGTACTGAGTATACAGAAGAGTGCAATTCTGTGTCTGTTCTAGGCGACTGTCTGTAGTAGTGTACTGAGTATACAGAAGAGTGCAATGCTGTGTCTGTTCTAGGCGACTGTCTGTAGTAGTGTACTGAGTATACAGTAGAGTGCAATGCTGTGTCTGTTCTAGGCGTCTGTCTGTAGTAGTGTACTGAGTATATAGAAGAGTGCAATGATTGTCTGTTCTAGGCGACTGTCTGTAGTAGTGTACCGAGTATACAGAAGAGTGCAATGCTGTGTCTGTACTCAGGCGACTGTCTGTAGTAGTGTACCGGAGTATGAGAAGAGCGCAATGATTGCCTGTTCTGGGCGACTGTCTGTAGTAGTGTACTGAGTATACAGAAGAGTGGAATCATTGTCTGTTCTAGGCGACTGTCTGTAGTAGTGTACTGAGTATACAGTAGAGTACAATGCTCTGTCTGTACTAGGCGACTGTCTGTAGTAGTGTACTGAGTATAGAGAAGAGTGCAATGCTGTGTCTGTACTAGGCGACTGTCTGTAGTAGTGTACTGAGTATACAGAAGTGTGCAATGCTGTGTCTGTTCTAGGCAACAGTCTGTAGTAGTGTACTGAGTATACAGTAGAGTGCCATGCTTGTCTGTGTCTGTTATAGGCGACTGTCTGTTGTAGTGTACTGAGTATACAGAAGAGTGCAATGCTGTGTCTGCTCTAGGCGACTGTCTGTAGTAGTGTATTGAGTATGCAGAAGAGTGCAATGCTGTGTCTGTTCTAGGCGTCTGTCCGTAGTAGTGTATTGAGTATACAGAAGAGTGCAATGCTTTGTCTGTTCTAAGCGACTGTCTGTAGTAGTGTACTGAGTATACAGAAGAGTGCAATGCTTTGTCTGTTCTAGGCGACTGTCTGTAGTAGTGTACTGAGTATACAGAAGAGTGCAATGCTGTGTCTGTTCTAGGCGACTGTCTGTAGTAGTGTTCTCAGTATACAGTATAGTGCAATGCTATGTCTGATCTAGGCGACTGTCTGTAGTAGTGTACTGAGTATACAGAAGAGTGCAATGCTGTGTCTGTTCTAGGCGACTGTCTGTAGTAGTGTACTGAGTATACAGAAGAGTGCAATGCAGTGTCTGTTCTAGGCGACTGTCTGTAGTAGTGTACTGAGTATACAGAAGAGTGCAATGATTGCCTGTTCTGGGCGACTGTCTGTAGTAGTGTACTGAGTATACAGAAGAGTGCAATGATTGTCTGTTCTAGGCGACTGTCTGTAGTAGTGTACTGAGTATACAGTAGAGTACAATGCTGTGTCTGTACTAGGCGACTGTCTGTAGTAGTGTACTGAGTATACAGAAGAGTGCAATGCTGTGTCTGTACTAGGCGACTGTCTGTAGTAGTGTACTGAGTATACAGAAGAGTGCAATGCTGTGTCTGTTCTAGGCAACAGTCTGTATGTAGTGCACTGAGTATACAGGAGAGTGCCATGCTTGTCTGTGTCTGTTATAGGTGACTGTCTGTTGTAGTGTACTGAGTATACAGAAGAGTGCAATGCTGTGTCTGCTCTAGGCGACTGTCTGTAGTAGTGTATTGAGTATGCAGAAGAGTGCAATGCTGTGTCTGTTCTAGGCGTCTGTCCGTAGTAGTGTATTGAGTATACAGAAGAGTGCAATGCTGTGTCTGTTCTAGGCGACTGTCTATAGTAGCGTACTGAGTATACAGAAGAGTGCAATGCTGTGTCTGTTCTCGGCGACAGTCTGTAGTAGTGTACTGAGTATACAGAAGAGTGCAATGCTTTGTCTGTTCTAAGCGACTGTCTGTAGTAGTGTACTGAGTATACAGAAGAGTGCAATGCTTTGTCTGTTCTAGGCGACTGTCTGTAGTAGTGTACTGAGTATACAGAAGAGTGCAATGCTGTGTCTGTTCTAGGCGACTGTCTGTAGTAGTGTTCTCAGTATACAGTATAGTGCAATGCTATGTCTGATCTAGGCGACTGTCTGTAGTAGTGTACTGAGTATACAGAAGAGTGCAATGCTGTGTCTGTTCTAGGCGACTGTCTGTAGTAGTGTACTGAGTATACAGAAGAGTGCAATGCAGTGTCTGTTCTAGGCGACAGTCTGTAGTAGTGTACTGAATATACAGAAGAGTGCAATGCTGTGTCTGTTCTAGGCGACTGTCTGTAGTAGTGTACTGAGTATACAGAAGAGTGCAATGCTGTGTCTGTTCTAGGCGTCTGTCTGTTGTAGTGTACTGAGTATACAGTAGAGTGCAAGGATTGTCTGTTCTAGGCGACTGTCTGTGGTAGCATACTGAGTATAGAGAAGAGTGCAATGCTGTGTCTGTTCTAGACGACTGTCTTTTGTAATGTACTGAGTATACAGTAGAGTGCCATATTGTGTCTGTTCTAGGCGACTGTCTGTAGTAGTGTACTGAGTATACAGTAGAATGCAATTCTGTGTCTGTTCTAGGCGACTGTCTGTAGTAGTGTACTGAGTTTACAGTAGAGTGCAATGCTGTGTCTGTTCTAGGCGACTGTCTGTGGTAGCATACTGAGTATAGAGAAGAGTGCAATGCTGTGTCTGTTCTAGGCGACTGTCTGTTGTAGTATACTGAGTATACAGTAGAGTGCAATGATTGTCTGTTCTAGGCGACTGTTTGTGGTAGCATACTGGGTATAGAGAAGAGTGCAATGCTGTGTCTGTTCTAGGCGACTGTCTGTTGTAGTGTACTGAGTATACAGTAGAGTGCAATGCTTGTCTGTTCTAGGCGACTGTCTGTGGTAGCATACTGAGTATAGAAAAGAGTGCAATGCTGTGTCTGTTCTAGGCGACTGTCTGTAGTAGTGTACTGAGTATACAGAAGAGTGCAATGCTTGTCTGTTCTATGCGACTGTCTGTAGTAGTGTACTGAGTATACAGAAGAGTGCAATGATTGTCTGTTCTAGGCGACTGTCTGTAGTGGTGTATTGAGTATACAGTAGAGTGCAATGCTGTGTCTGTTCTAGGCGACTGTCTGTAGTAATGTACTGAGTATACAGAAGAGTGCAATGCTGTGTCTGTTCTAGGCGTCTGTCTGTAGTAGTGTACTGAGTATACAGAAGAGTGCAATGATGTGTCTGTTCTAGGCGACTGTCTGTAGTAGTGTATTGAGTATACAGAAGAGTGCAATGCTGTGTCTGTTCTAGGCGTCTGTCTGTAGTAGTGTACTGAGTATACAGAAGAGTGCAATGCTGTGTCTGTTCTAGGCGTCTGTCTGTAGTAGTGTACTGAGTATACAGAAGAGTGCAATGCTGTGTCTGTTCTAGGCGATTGTCTGTAGTAGTGTATTGAGTATACAGAAGAGTGCAATGCTGTGTTTGTTCTAGGCGTCTGTCTGTAGAAGTGTACTCTGTATACAGAAGAGTGCAATGCTGTGTCTGTTCTTGGCGTCTGTCTGAAGTAGTGTACTGAGTATACAGAAGAGTGCAATGCTGTGTCTGTTCTAGGCGTCTGTCTGTAGTAGTGTACTGAGTATACAGAAGAGTGCAATGCTGTGTCTGTTCTAGGCGTCTGTCTGTAGTAGTGTACTGAGTATACAGAAGAGTGCAATGCTGTGTCTGTTCTAGGCGACTGTCTGTAGTAGTGTATTGAGTGTACAGAAGAGTGCAATGCTGTGTCTGTTCTATGCGTCTGTCTGTAGTAGTGTACTGAGTATACAGAAGAGTGCAATGCTGTGTCTGTTCTATGCGTCTGTCTGTAGTAGTGTACTGAGTATACAGAAGAGTGCAATGCTGTGTCTGTTCTAGGCGACTGTCTGTAGTAGTGTACTGAGTTTACAGTAGAGTGCAATGCTGTGTCTGTTCTAGGCGACTGTCTGTGGTAGCATACTGAGTATAGAGAAGAGTGCAATGCTGTGTCTGTTCTAGGCGACTGTCTGTTGTAGTGTACTGAGTATACAGTAGAGTGCAATGATTGTCTGTTCTAGGCGACTGTTTGTGGTAGCATACTGGGTATAGAGAAGAGTGCAATGCTGTGTCTGTTCTAGGCGACTGTCTGTTGTAGTGTACTGAGTATACAGTAGAGTGCAATGCTTGTCGTTTTTAGTCGACTGTCTGTGGTAGCATACTGAGTATAGAGAAGAGTGGAATGCTCTGTCTGTTCTAGGCGACTGTCTGTAGTAGTGTACTGAGTATACAGAAGAGTGCAAGGATTGTCTGTTCTAGGCGACTGTCTGTAGTAGTGTACTGAGTATACAGAAGAGTGCAATGATTGTCTGTTCTAGGCGACTGTCTGTAGTAGTGTACTGAGTATACAGTAGGGTGCAATGCTGTGTCTGTTCTAGGCGACTGTCTGTAGTAGTGTACTGAGTATACAGAAGAGTGCAATGCTGTGTCTGTTCTAGGCGTCTGTCTGTAGTAGTGTACTGAGTATACAGAAGAGTGCAATGCTGTGTCTGTTCTAGGCGACTGTCTGTAGTAGTGTATTGAGTATACAGAAGAGTGCAATGCTGTGTCTGTTCTAGGCGACTGTCTGTAGTAGTGTACTGAGTATTCAGAAGAGTGCAATGCTGTGTCTGTTCTAGGCGACTGTCTGTAGTAGTGTACTGAGTATACAGAAGAGTGCAATGCTGTGTCTGTTCTAGGCGACTGTCTGTGGTAGCATACTGAGTATAGAGAAGAGTGCAATGCTGTGTCTGTTCTAGGCGACTGTCTGTAGTAGTGTACTGAGTATACAGAAGAGTGCAATGCTGTGTCTGTTCTATGCGACTGTCTGTAGTAGTGTACTGAGTATACAGAAGAGTGCAATGCTGTGTCTGTTCTAGGCGACTGTCTGTAGTAGTGTACTGAGTATACAGAAGAGTGCAATGCTGTGTCTGTTCTAGGCGACTGTCTGTAGTAGTGTACTGAGTATACAGAAGAGTGCAATGCTGTGTCTGTTCTAGGCGACTGTCTGTTGTAGTGTACTGAGTATACAGTAGAGTGCAATGATTGTGTCTGTTCTAGGCGACTGTCTGTAGTAGTGTACTGAGTATAGAGAAGAGTGCAATGCTGTGTCTGTTCTAGGCGACTGTCTGTAGTAGTGTACTGAGTATACAGAAGAGTGCAATGCTGTGTCTGTTCTAGGCGACTGTCTGTAGTAGTGTACTGAGTATACAGAAGAGTGCAATGCTGTGTCTGTTCTAGGCGTCTGTCTGTAGTAGTGTACTGAGTATACAGAAGAGTGCAATGCTGTGTCTGTTCTAGGCGTCTGTCTGTAGTAGTGTACTGAGTATACAGAAGAGTGCAATGATGTGTCTGTTCTAGGCGACTGTCTGTGGTAGTGTACTGAGTATACAGAAGAGTGCAATGCTGTGTCTGTTCTAGGCGACTGTCTGTAGTAGTGTACTGAGTATACAGAAGAGTGCAATGCTGTGTCTGTTCTAGGCGACTGTCTGTAGTAGTGTACTGAGTATACAGAAGAGTGCAATGCTGTGTCTGTTCTAGGCGACTGTCTGTGGTAGCATACTGAGTATAGAGAAGAGTGCAATGCTGTGTCTGTTCTAGGCGACTGTCTGTAGTAGTGTACTGAGTATACAGAAGAGTGCAATGCTGTGTCTGTTCTAGGCGTCTGTCTGTAGTAGTGTACTGAGTATACTGTAGATTACAATGCTGTGTCTGTTCTAGGCCTCTGTCTGGACTGGGTGAGCGGCAACCTCTACTGGACCGACTCCAGCAGTCAACTGATCAAGGTGGCCAGCAGACACGGTACCTTCCAGAGAGACCTGATCACCACCAACCTCGACAACCCTCTCGGTATCGCTGTACACCCGGGACGCGGGTATGTCACATTACCCATTACCCGTCTTGTGCTTCTTTAGACGCAGCTATTGTGTAAATACTGCTTGAACAAATGTACACCTTTATTTGAAGTAGCATCACGAAACGAGTTCAACCATTCTTCTTAGCAATACGTTACCAATCAATTTATTAAGTTTCCATTTAATCAAAAATAGAATCTTGCCAGAATATTGCTTGAGGCTTCTGTGGGCGTGTTCCAGGCGCCTGTACTTCACCGATCCCGGAGATACGCCCAAAGTTGAAACCGCCTACACTGACGGCAGTGACAGGAGGACCATCCTCGACTACGACCTCGGCTCCCCAAACCATCTGTACATTGACTACACAAATGACATGTCAGTACTGCTGCCCATGCAGCGTGACACATTACAGGAAGAAGATGACATGCTTAACAGAACAAATATAAAGCAACCATTGTCTCATTGGATAATGTGAAAGAATGTTGAGCAATATTCCATACCATATCTGTTCTTTAATATTTTACTTCACTTGTCTTACAGAATACCCCACGAATGTCTCTCACGAGTTTATAGCAAAAATATTTATAGTAAACGTAATATTTCTTGATCAGTACTAAACATACGATCGAGCGTGAACAGAGACAACAGTGCTAATATTTGTTGGTATCCTTGCGTTACAGGATGTATTGGAGCGACTCAATCAAGAACCATGTGAGGAGGTACAATCTCGAGACTGAGCAGTTGACTATCGTGTTCAGACTGGACAACACCGGATTCTACGGCATCAGCATCTTCCAGGTTACAACCACATCTCACACGGACACCTGACAACCACAAATCTCACACAGACACCTGACAACCACACTTCTCACACAGACACCTGGCAACATGGCAACCACACGTCTGATATGGACTCACATGGCCACCACACGTCTGATAGAGACTCACATAGCCATCACACGTGTGACACACTCACATGGCCACCACACGTTTGATACAGACTCACATAGCCACCACACGTGTGACATAGACTGACATGTCTATCTTATACATCTGACATAGACTCACATTGCCACTACACGTCTGATACAGACTCGCATGGCAACCACACGTCTGACACACACGAGAAACTGGTGTGTTCACAATGACAAGTGTTGCGCATAATGAGTCAGTCAAAAGATCAGTAATTAATTCAACCTGGGTTCTTCCACTGATCTGAGAGACATCTGGGCAGCTCAGTGCCATCTCGTTAGCTGGTTGTCCGGCGACGGTATCATAATAACCTAGGACATCTTTCCAGCCACAAACCCTCTAATCCTGCCCAATACCTGATCTGTGAGAATGTGTTTATGTGCTTCAGGACATCATCCTGTGGACCGACAGGAACGACATGAACGGCATCCACATGGCCAGACTCGACAAGGAGGAGAAGATCCGCGGCATCCTACACCCCCATTACGGCATCGCTCAAGACCTTGTCACCTTCGACGTCAACAACCAACCCCTCTTTAACAGTAAGACATTATTCTCAGGCACCAATCCAAGCCTCGATCTTGATGTTGCAAGACGAACCATTTCTGAAACTGACGTATTGTCTCTATGGAAACGATGCAGAAACGAAATATATTAACATGTGATGGGTTATATAACCAATATGGGTTGAAGACACTCTTTGACGGTTTCAGGCAGTTGTCGGGAGGGTTCCAACCCGTGCAGCCAGCTTTGTCTGAGTGGAGCTGAAGACGCCACCTGGTGCACTTGCGGTCTGGGGTACCAACTAGCAGAGGATGACGTCACCTGTATCTCAAGTAATACAAGACATTAAGCATCAAAGGCATAATAGCTGAACATTTTGCATGACGAGATATCCATAAGTAGTGGAACGATTTGTTTGAATGTAGGTTCATGTAGGCATCCAACAGGTTAGTAAAATGTCAACGATCTCTACATGTGGCTTACTTTGTTTAAGTTGTAATTCAAATATTGACGATCTCAGGTTACTGAACGTCATTTCCAAAATGTACAGAACGATAAAAAACCAGTCTATTTATCGCATTTGGAAGAACTGGATTTTCGTATATAGTGTCATTTGCAATGGTTGCATGAAAGATCATTATAATCTGCCATTTTGTATCATGCTCGTACCTGTCACCACATTGAAAACCTGTGAACCAATCCTACATGCCACATTATCCCTGACGCTCCTTCCAGCAGCTTGACATAATGTGTACCACCAGCCAGACATTTACCAAACATCACCCGCTAATAACATCATCATATCATTGAAGCTGCTTGTCATAATGCCATCCACTGTCCTAGAAACACTAGTACTCTGTCGCGCAATGCTCATATGCCCTAACACGTCTTGTCTTAAGTTCCTTGCATGTCTCAGAAACACATTGCCTTGAAATCATCTCACGTGTCTTAACTGTTCTCATGGAATCCTTATGTCCAACAAGCAAGCATGACAATCATGTCATGCCGATTTGCCCTTCAATATATTTGTCATGTCATCTCCACAATTCTTAGAAGCTGTATGTCATTGACTCCCGGCATGCCCATGCAGATGCAGGTCATGGCAAACACAGGTGATTAGTAATCTGACGTGTCAGATTCTACTTCCCCAGGTATAGCAGGAAACAACTTCCTGTTGGTGACAGACGCCTACCAGAGACAGGTGTTCCAGGTGAGCTCCAGCAACGGGGTTGTCCATGCTGTCCGCCACTCCACCAGGCACTCGCCCATCGCTATTGGCTTCGACCCCATCAAGATGCGCCTCTACTGGTCTGACAATACAGTCCATATTATCAAGGGTTCCAATCTGGACGGAGACTTCGCTGAAATCGTCGTTGGGATGGATGACGGTAATGTGCTGAACAAAATACACCTGGCATCAGACCGCCCACACAGGTGTACACACATTATCTCCTGTCCCAGAGACTGTCGCAGCATGTACTGCTACTACAACTATTTCACAACAGTGTTGTGCATTTTACAGCCTCGTTAGATTTAAAATTTTAAATATATAAGTAATAGAGGTAGGAATTGGCATCGGGTTCATACTTGAGCGAAATTACACACACCGTCTATTTTAAATGCGAGCCGAGTTTCGAGTACACAGTAACTGCTACAACAACGAATATTAGCACATTGCTTGTTGGAATGAGGGATCGCCAACACATTCTTACCTCCAATGACATGTTGTAGAGGCGGTAGTGGACGGCCTGGCAGTGGACCATATCAATAAACTTCTATACTTTACCGATGCCGGACATAACCTGATCGGAGTTGTCTCCCTTACAAACTATACGCACCACACGATCCTGCTGACGGAAGATGTTGACGAGCCGAGGGCAATTGCTCTACTTCCTCTGGAGGGGTTAGTAGCTAAACCGCTTCTTCAACTTCCGTGTCCATGGATACCCGATGCTGACGGCTGATATCTCTTTTTCTATTTGCAGGATATTCTTCTGGACAGACTGGGGTGTAGAGCCCCGGATTGAACGGGCATCCATGGATGGATCAGATCGCTCCACGTTTGTCAGTCTGGACAAGAACTCTTGGCCGAATGGTCTCGCAGTGGACAGTAAGAGTAGGTCCGAAGGATAAACAAAGATAAAAACAGATGGGTCTTGTAAACAGTGACTTGACTTGCTCTAGGGACGTTGTCGTATGGTGGACTTCAGATTGGCAGCCACCAATATCTGTACTGAAATGTCGCCTGACCACAATTAGAACGCTCATTTGTCCCCTTGATAGGCACTTAACGGCACTGTGAACAAGAATGGTCTGCACCACATGGCAGGACGTCAGATTCCTTTGCAGATTTTTGGCTTGTTTACCTGACATGAAAAGGGCTGGACGCGACCACTTGTGCTAAGACAGCATTGTTACACTATGTTACATTTGGCATTGTTATCATAGTTTTGCTATATTTTAGAACGGTTGAAGTTACCTTTAGGATATGTCTACTGCACTTTTTTCAGCAAGGGTCTTTTATTTTGAGAGGGTCCAGGCTGGCATCACGGAAATTCATTAATATGTTAACGTATGATGTAGAGATAGGTTTATATGTAATGCAATAGACTTTTTGACACAAGTTCTTCATCAATTATTTGGAATGGGATCCGTCTGTCCGTCACGTTTCGTTTCCAGAGCAGATCTTGAAAATCTAATTCACTAAACCTGGCACATGGTAAGGTCTGACGATGAATTGGATCTTTTGAGAGCTTTGAATTGGAAGATAATGGTGGTAGTGCTCGTTTCCGGAAAAGATCTTGAAAACCGTAGCTGGTGTCTTAATAATTTCTGATTTTTAAAGAAAGTGGTTTTTCGAGTTTCCATGACAACAACTTCAACTATAAATTAAGATTTTGTTTTCGAAGTTTAAGTATATACATTTTGACTAAGTCCCTGGTCTCAATGGAAGCTGTTGGTCTCATCTGTGGATCAGAACTAACAGATATTAAGCGATATCTTCAAGAAACATGGTACACACATTTCCCATTTAATGAGGTTCCCCACAAATTTTAAGCGTTTCCTTCTTTAAAGAAAATTGAAGTTAGACTTTTGTTGGACAATATTTGACATATGGCATGTTGAATCAGAAATTATGTTCACGAGATTAAATTAATTACCACACCCGTAGAAAGTGCAACAAACAAAGCTATAGAAGAAAACATTCACAGGAGATCCATTAGAATGTCAACAGACTGCGAAGGGGATGCTTGCTCACAAATCTTTGCCTCTCCGTTTACTCTGGAAGCCTAGCTGTAAAGGTTGGGGCTGTAGCAATAGCTGCCTGTGTGACAATCCTGCATACTACAGTGATGACAAAAGCACTTTGTTGTACATTCAGATACACAATATTATTGGCTCCACATAGATGATTATAACATGTGGCCATCTTTACTGTCTTCCTAGTGTAGGTATGTCACTATGTGTACAACGTTGTTATGGTGGTCTTGTACTCCACCCCTTCCACAAGAAAAACAAAACATACACAAGCAGGTGGCCAGACCAGTCACTTTTCTTTGCACATGTAATTCTCTTCAGGATCAGACAATGGGCGGGGAATAAAGCTGACTTTGTCTCCTTGTTCATAGTGTGTTTTCAACGTTTGAAGAACACTGCTTATTTCTGCTATAGGTCGACGCTTGTTTTGGGTTGACGCACAGTTTAACACTGTGTCTATGATTTTCCTTAATGGCACCGGACAACGCGTCATGCTTAAAGAGGACGTGGCCCACTATTTCGGAATCACCATCATGGGGGACTACCTTTACCTGACAGACTGGAAGAAAACGTGAGTAGTCTCTGCATCCAATGACTAACTGTATTGTACTATCATTTAAACCTTTTAATTACAGATTTTAATTTCCAGATCTATTTGCTGTAAATGAACTGTGTGACATGGATAATATATTTATGTTCTGTTTATACTCAGGACGAATAGTCTCTAAAACAAGTGATCTGCGGATCCTGCCGCGGGGACTTGGAACCCTTCAGGATGCACACACGCAATGGTTTAGGCATAAATAGATGCTAAAATTGCAGTATTTCCGCCAGGACTGATTTTACGCTGGAAAAAGTGTCAGTCTAATCACCTATCCAAACGTGTATGAACGCCTATGATGCAGCTACCTGGCTACTACTTGTATAAATGTGTTCCTGCCTATGATGCAGCTACCTGGCTACTACTTGTATAAATGTGTTCCTGCCTATGATGCAGCTACCTGGCTACTACTTGTATAAATGTGTTCCTGCCTATGATGCAGCTACCTGGCTACTACTTGTATAAATGTGTTTCTGCCTATGATGCAGCTACCTGGCTACTACTTGTATACATGTGTTCCTACCTATGATGCAGCTACCTGGCTACTACTTGTATACATGTGTTCCTGCCTATGATGCAGCTACCTGGCTACTACTCGTATAAATGTGTTCCTGCCTATGATGCAGCTACCTGGCTACTACTTGTATAAATGTGTTCCTGCCTATGATGCAGCCACCTGGCTACTACTTGTATAAATGTGTTCCTGCCTATGATGCAGCCCTGGCTACTACTTGTATAAATGTGTTTCTGCCTATGATGCAGCTACCTGGCTACTACTTGTATAAATGTGTTCCTACCTATGCAGCTACCTGGCTACTACTTGTATACATGTGTTCCTGCCTATGATGCAGCTACCTGGCTACTACTTGTATAAAGTGTTCCTGCCTATGATGCAGCTACCTGGCTACTACTTGTATAAATGTGTTCCTGCCTATGATGCAGCTACCTGGCTACTACTCGTATAAAATGTGTTCCTGCCTGTGATGCAGCTACCTGGCTACTACTTGTATAAATGTGTTCCCTGCCTGCTACTCTATGATGCAGCTACCTGGCTACTACTTGTATAAATGTGTTCCTGCCTATGATGCAGCTACCTGGCTACTACTTGTATAAATGTGTTCCTGCCTATGATGCAGCTACCTGGCTACTACTTGTATAAATGTGTTCCTGCCTATGATGCAGCTACCTGGCTACTACTTGTATAAATGTGTTCCTACCTACAGCTTGTACTACTTGTATAAATGTGTTCCTGCCTATGATGCAGCTACCTGGCTACTACTTGTATACATGTGTTCCTGCCTATGATGCAGCTACCTGGCTACTACTTGTATAAATGTGTTTCTGCCTATGATGCAGCTACCTGGCTACTACTTGTATAAATGTGTTCCTGCCTATGATGCAGCTACCTGGCTACTACTTGTATACATGTGTTCCTGCCTATGATGCAGCTACCTGGCTACTACTTGTATAAAGTGTTCCTGCCTATGATGCAGCTACCTGGCTACTACTTGTATAAATGTGTTCCTGTAGTTCCCACAAACGAACTCATGACAACTGTGAACTTGCAGTTACATATCCCGGATGCACAAGGAAGGAGGTGCTTTGGAGGAGTTTGGTACAGATTCTTTCACCAAACTGTACGGCATTTATGGCTTTAACAGGACGGAGGTCGTCCTAGGTGAGTCAACTGGCGACATGCAAGCTTGTAATGGTTGACGAGTGTGTGTAAGGTAGTCATTGGCGAGAGGTTGCATTGTGTGAACTGTAGTAGTTCGTGTGAGATTGCAGTGTGTGTACTGTGGTATGCGGGGTTACAGTGTGTGCATTGAGGTTATTCGTGTGAGGTTACAGTGTGTGCACTGTGGTAGTTCGTGTGAGGTTAAAGTGTCTGCACTGTGGTTTTCGTGTGAGGTTACAGTGTGCGCACCGTGGTAGTTCGTGTGAGGTTACAGTGTGTGAACTGTGGTTCTTCGTGTGAGGTTACAGTGTGTGTACTGTGGTTGTTGGCTACAAGTGACAGTGCGGGAACTGTGGTCGTTGGCTAGATGTTACGCAGTGTGTAATCTGGTCCCGAGTATAGTGGTGGGTGTGTGTATAGTGAGGGTGTTTGGTCGTTAGTGAAAAGATTTGCGATTGTTAGCGCGGAGGTGGATGTAACGTGGTGACTGACCATAGGATGTGTATTGTTATTACCGAGAGGGTGTGTATATTGTATATATTGTGTATGGAAAGGTATCAATACACATACAGCGGTCCTTAGCAAGGTAGACCTAAGTGCATATTGTCGTCATGGACGAGGGTTACTAATTTGGTGGGACCTGACAATATGCATATCGTCGCATCTCTATGACTAGAGCTGACAATGTGCATATTGTCCCATCTCTATGACGAGAGCTGACAATGTGCTTATTGTCGCGTCTCCATGACGGGACCTGACAATGTGCATATTGTCCCGCCTCTATGACGAGAGCTGACAATGTGCAAATCTTTCCGTCTCTATGACGAGAGCTGACAATGTGCATATTGTCCCGTCTCTATGACGAGAGCTGACAATGTGCATATTGTCCCGTCTCTATGACGAGAGCTGACAATGTGCATATTGTCCCGCCTCTATGACGAGAGCTGACAATGTGCATATTGTCCCGTCTCTATGACGAGAGCTGACAATGTGCATATTGTTCCGTCTCTATGACGGGAGCTGACAATGTGCATATTGTCCCGTCTCCATGACGAGAGCTGACAATGTGCATATTGTTCCGTCTCTATGACGAGAGCTGACAATGTGCATATTGTCCCGTCTCTATGACGAGAGCTGACAATGTGCATATTGTCCCGTCTCTATGACGAGGGCTGACAATGTGCATATTGTCCCGTCTCTATGACGAGAGCTGACAATGTGCATATTGTTCCGTCTCTATGACGAGAGCTGACAATGTGCATATTGTCCCGTCTCTATGACGAGAGCTGACAATATGCATATTGTTCCGTCTCTATGACGAGAGCTGACAATGTGCATATTGTTCCGTCTCTATGACGAGAGCTGACAATGTGCATATTGTTCCGTCTCTATGACGAGGGCTGACAATGTGCATATTGTCCCGTCTCTATGACGAGGGCTGACAATGTGCATATTGTCCCGTCTCTATGACGAGAGCTGACAATGTGCATATTGTCCCGTCTCTATGACGAGGGCTGACAATGTGCATATTGTCCCGTCTCTATGACGAGAGCTGACAATGTGCATATTGTTCCGTCTCTATGACGAGAGCTGACAATGTGCATATTGTCCCGTCTCTATGACGAGAGCTGACAATATGCATATTGTTCCGTCTCTATGACGAGAGCTGACAATGTGCATATCGCTATTGTTGTTGAGGGATAACAGAACAAGGTGTGTGTTGACAATGTCGTCGTAGAATTGAGTGTGTTGAAATGTATGAACTCCTGGAAGGGACATTGTCGCGTTGTCGCATTGTTGCGTTCTTGCCCTCTCAAATACAAGCAAAATGAGGCAAAATTAACCAAAGCGCGACAATGCGACAACGCGACATTTCGGCTATTTGTCGCATTGTCGCGATGTCGCATGTCGCGTTTTGAAAAATATGTTTTCTATTCCACCAAAGGGCGACACTCGACATAGCGACAATTTCAAAGGTCAAAATATGTCGCGTTGTCGCATTGTCGACCTATTTACTAAAACGCGACACGCGACAATCACGCGTGTCGCGTTTTAGTCAATTTTTAGGCTTTTTTCACGCATCTTAGATAGGGCGACAATGCGACATAGCGACATATTATGACCTTGAAAATTGTCGCTATGTCGCGTGTTGCCCTTTGGTCGTCACGCCGAAGACCCGGGTTCGAATCCCCACATGGGCACACCATTTCTGGTGTCCCCCGCCGTGATGTTGCTGGAATATTGCTAAAAGCGGCGTAATACCAAAACTCAGTCAGTCAGTCAGTCGCCCTTTGGAGGAATAAAAAAGATATTAATCAAAACGCGACACGCGACATCGCGACAATGCGACAAATGGGCGAAATGTCGCGTTGTCACGTTTTGGTTTATTTTGCCTCATTTTACTTGTTTTTGAGAGGGCGACAATACGACAACGCGACAATGTCCCTTCTCGGATTCCATAGAAATGACCCAGCCTGATGTTGTGATAATTAGAGAGACAATTATAATGAATGGGGTGTCAAAGTGTGCATCTTGAAGACGGTTGTCTGCTGGTGCTGTTTTAGAACATTATGTACATTATGACACTACGACCATTCCTCGCAATAGGATGACTATAAAGACAACGTTATGTGTATTAACGACAGGCAACAGCGTGTGTGTCTTCAAAGAGTGCCAGCAGCTGTGTTTGCCCCGCCCACACAACATGTTCACTTGTGCCTGCATGGAAGGCTTCCGTCTCAATGATGATAGAAGGACCTGTATTCAAGGTAGTTTCTCTATGGCTTTGAAAAACAGATTACCATTTTACTACAGCACTAACGGAAGATATAAATGTACACATGAAAACAATATTGTTTCATGGTATCTTCATTTCTAAACTCCAGTTACTTGTAACTAATATAACGCATTTTGGCTCATGTTCCTGGTGTTATGCAATTTGAACATTTGATCTTCTCCCTCTGCATAGAAACGACTCCAGCACCTGCAACAACACGGCTCGCCACCACACCGACAACAACTTCACCAAATGCTGCTACAACTTCAACGACAGTTAAAGCTACGTCACCTTCCATACAAACTACTTTGATGTCTTCGCCATCTTCCGTGACGTCATTATCATCCTCCACCACAGTCAAGTCTCCAGTAACAAGTGTAATACCAGCGGCGTCCCCGGGACTCTCTTCATCAACGCCTAAGACTTTTACATCACAGAACTCCATCACAGGTGATTTTGTACGCGAATGTGTTGGAATATAATCCTCCTATGGATATTATCGTCACTAAAACATGTTGTCGACAGCGCACACCAGATCAAAGACCAAGGCAAAATTCAATACAATTCTGAAATCATTTTGCAGCACATTTTTGCACAAATATACATCCGTTAAAGTAACGACATCTTCGTCTTCGTCATTCCCGGTATTTGTTTCAGGGGCACCTACGAGTAAACACCCCACTACGGAATATGAGGCCCATGAACCGGCGGCTCCAGTGTCAACCAGTAAGTCAACTTCGTACCCAAGGCCAGCAGTAAGTCAACTCCCTATACATGTAAACACTCCCGGAAAACTCGTACCCAAGGCAAGCAGTAAGTCAACTCTCTATACATGTAAACACCCCACTTCGGAATATCAGGCCCATGCATCGGTGGCTCCAGTGTCAACCAGTAAGTTAACTCTCTATACATGTAAACACCCCACTACGGAATATGAGGCCAATGCATCGGTGGCTCCATTGTCAACCAGTAAGTCAACTCCCTATACGTGTAAAAACTCTCAGAACACTCGTCCCCAAGGCAACAAGTAAGTCGACTCCCTACACATGTAAACACTCCCGGAAAACTCGTACCCAAGGCCAGCAGTAGGTCAACTCCCTATACATGTAAACACTCCCGGAAAACTCGTACCCAAGGCCAGCAGTAGGTCAACTCCCTACACATGTAAACACTCCCGGAAAACTCGTACCCAAGGCAAGCAGTAAGTCAACTGTCTATACATGTAAACACTCCCGGAAAACTCGTACCCAAGGCAAGCAGTAGGTAAACTCCCTAAACATGTAAACACTCCCGGAAAACTCGTACCCAAGGCCAGCAGTAGGTCAACTCCCTATACATGTAAACACTCCCGGAAAACTCGTACCCAAGGCAAGCAGTAGGTAAACTCCCTAAACATGTAAACACTCCCGGAAAACTCGTACCCAAGGCCAGCAGTAGGTCAACTCCCTATACATGTAAACACTCCCGGAAAACTCGTACCCAAGGCAAGCAGTAGGTAAACTCCCTAAACATGTAAACACTCCCGGAAAACTCGTACCCAAGGCCAGCAGTAGGTCAACTCCCTACACATGTAAACACTCCCGGAAAACTCGTACCCAAGGCAAGCAGTAGGTAAACTCCCTAAACATGTAAACACTCCCGGAAAACTCGTACCCAAGGCCAGCAGTAGGTCAACTCCTACACATGTAAACACTCCCGGAAAACTCGTACCCAAGGCAAGCAGTAGGTCAACTCCTAATACATGTAAACACTCCCGGAAAACTCGTACCCAAGGCCAGCAGTAGGTCAACTCCCTATACATGTAAACACTCCCGGAAAACTCGTACCCAAGGCAAGCAGTAGGTCAACTCCCTAAACATGTAAACACTCCCGGAAAACTCGTACCCAAGGCAAGCAGTAGGTAAACTCCCCCTAAACATGTAAACACTCCCGGAAAACTCGTACCCAAGGCCAGCAGTAGGTCAACTCCTATACATGTAAACACTCCCGGAAAACTCGTACCCAAGGCAAGCAGTAGGTCAACTCCTATACATGTAAACACTCCCGGAAAACTCGTACCCAAGGCCAGCAGTAGGTCAACTCCCTATACATGTAAACACTCCCGGAAAACTCGTACCCAAGGCAAGCAGTAGGTCAACTCCCTATACATGTAAACACTCCCGGAAAACTCGTACCCAAGGCCAGCAGTAAGTCAACTCCCTATACATGTAAACACTCCCGGAAAACTCGTACCCAAGGCAAGCAGTAGGTCAACTCCTAAACATGTAAACACTCCCGGAAAACTCGTACCCAAGGCCAGCAGTAAGTCAACTCCTATACATGTAAACACTCCCGGAAAACTCGTACCCAAGGCCAGCAGTAGGTCAACTCCCTATACATGTAAACACTCCTGGAAAACTCGTACCCAAGGCAAGCAGTAAGTCAACTCCCTATACATGTAAACACTCCCGGAAAACTCGTACCCAAGGCCAGCAGTAAGTCAACTCCCTATACATGTAAACACTCCGGAAAACTCGTACCCAAGGCCAGCAGTAAGTCAACTCCTATACATGTAAACACTCCCGGAAAACTCGTACCCAAGGCAAGCAGTAAGTCAACTCCCTATACATGTAAACACTCCCGGAAAACTCGTACCCAAGGCCAGCAGTAGGTCAACTCCCTATACATGTAAACACTCCCGGAAAACTCGTACCCAAGGCAAGCAGTAAGTCAACTCCCTATACATGTAAACACTCCCGGAAAACTCGTACCCAAGGCCAGCAGTAGGTCAACTCCCTATACATGTAAACACTCCCGGAAAACTCGTACCCAAGGCCAGCAGTAAGTCAACTCCCTATACATGTAAACACTCCCGGAAAACTCGTACCCAAGGCAAGCAGTAAGTCAACTCCCTATACATGTAAACACTCCCGGAAAACTCGTACCCAAGGCCAGCAGTAGGTCAACTCCCTATACATGTAAACACTCCCGGAAAACTCGTACCCAAGGCAAGCAGTAAGTCAACTCCCTATACATGTAAACACTCCCGGAAAACTCGTACCCAAGGCCAGCAGTAGGTCAACTCCCTATACATGTAAACACTCCCGGAAAACTCGTACCCAAGGCCAGCAGTAGGTCAACTCCCTATACATGTAAACACTCCCGGAAAACTCGTACCCAAGGCAAGCAGTAAGTCAACTCTCTATACATGTAAACACTCCCGGAAAACTCGTACCCAAGGCAAGCAGTAAGTCAACTCCCTATACATGTAAACACTCCCGGAAAACTCGTACCCAAGGCAAGCAGTAGGTAAACTCCCTAAACATGTAAACACTCCCGGAAAACTCGTACCCAAGGCCAGCAGTAGGTCAACTCCCTATACATGTAAACACTCCCGGAAAACTCGTACCCAAGGCAAGCAGTAAGTCAACTCCCTATACATGTAAACACTCCCGGAAAACTCGTACCCAAGGCAAGCAGTAAGTCAACTGTCTATACATGTAAACACTCCCGGAAAACTCGTACCCAAGGCAAGCAGTAAGTCAACTCTCTTTACATGTAAACACCCCACTACGGAATATCAGGCCCATGCATCGGTGGCTCCAGTGTCAACCAGTAAGTCAACTCTCTATACATGTAAACACCCCACTACGGAATATGAGGCCAATGCATCGGTGGCTCCATTGTCAACCAGTAAGTCAACTCCCTATACGTGTAAAAACTCTCAGAACACTCGTCCCCAAGGCAACAAGTAAGTCGACTCCCTACACATGTAAACAATCTCGGAACACTCGTCCCCAAGGCACCAGTAAGTCAACTTCCGATACATGTAAACAGGGATAATCTACAACACGCGTTATATAGTCTACCTGATGTAAACAATCCCGGAACACTCGTCCCCAAGGCAATCAGTAAGTCAACTCCCGATAAATGTAAACCTTCATTACATGTTTACCCATACAAAGCAGCCATGGGCACCTTCATCTCTATAAAACTACATTAACTAACACTACATGTGTGTATCAGACACGATATGTGTTCGCCAGCTAGTAGTCACACATCATAAACTATTTTGCAGCTCAGTCCAGGTTATCCTCAGGAACGGTGGCCGCCGTTGTCATCGTGGTCCTCCTGGCCTGCATCATAGCAGTGGTCGTTGCTGTCGTTATATATCGCAAGTAAGTTTATACTTATAGCGTAATATTGGGGTGGAGTGCGATTTGTGGGAAGAGTATAATATCACCATAGGTGCTGAAACTATAGAAAAGACAGATGCGACAGAGTGTATTGTCCACATAACTGATGCGACTTAAATGTATACAGGAAAGCGAAACATAGACTGTCACCATACGTGGTGATACGAAGAAGAACACATAGTCGTCATTTGTGTCTATAAAGTGAGGCAGACGTTTATACATATTATCGTCATGATAGATTATCGTCAGTGCTGAATCTACGTTTTCCACGTAAGGCAGACGCGTATATTATTATTTGTTAGCGCTGCAACTATACGTTTATAGTGAGACAGAAGTAGACATTCTCATCATTAGTCCGGGGACGATTATTGCTACTTTTCCCAAAAATCTGATGAATACTTCTGACCGTCCTCTTAAGTTAAATTAGCTTCATTTGAACCTCCCCAACTAACGTGCTGCTTGCTGCTGTCGACAGGCACCGCCAGTACAAGATTCCTCACGGCAAGCTACTGGAAGACGACCCGCAGCGTGTCGACACCTTCTACCGCATCACTTTCCCCGACAACAACAAAGACGAACCTGTCATGATAGATAACGGCATAGAGAACCCCGCCTACGACTGTGTCAGCGACGACGACGGCGACAAAGACGCTTACAACGTACACTGAAGACATTGAAGTAACCTTACTGCGGTGTATCATTAAACATTGTCACATTCCAGTTCATTCCAAGAATGGTTTGATATGTTACCATCTGTGTATTTATTGGCCATCATGTGGCATTGCTTTACCTTTGTCAGCACTTGTTGACAATATCCATCATGGAAGCAACTGACATTTGAAAAGCTAATAATGTTTTTGGTTATATCCCAGCTTGAGCAGTGTTTGGCTGCCAGTTAGAGACTGATTAACTACCATGTATTTATTGAATACCACAATAATCGTCATCATCGTGTACATAGGATTTCCTTGAGGGTGGGACTCTGCCATTTAACTTACGAAATACATTTTTTTTAACAATTGTGTCACATTATGTTTCCCTTGAAGACATAGTCGTCATGCCATGTTGCCATGGTGACAACTCGGACATTAAGTGGATGCGACTGTGAATATCGGTAGTGCGGTAATATTACCATACAGAGATACCGATCTCGTGACCTGCGGGGGGAGAGGAGCTTTGGTAGAGACAGGTATAGTTATTGAAAACTCTTCAGGAGAACGACATTCTTCTCACAATGGAGAGTAAAGATCTCTCTTGCACCCACAACCCATTTTGTATATTTGCAAATTTCTTTTTCAAAACGTTTTCGGGAACGAAGGATGCTTTCCAAAACATCTCAGTACCGGTTTTTGTGTTGTCCATTCCACCTGAGAGAAAATCTAAGAGGCAAGAGTTAGTTTCTGTCTAAATGGAAAGATCAAAACAGTCGAACGTACAGTGAGACTTACAGAGTTTGAGGTAGTCGGGAGAAGCAAAAACAAGATTCCCTACTCACATCCACTACCTACTGGTGGGGAAAACAGGCTTCGTCCTTCTGGAACATGTTCTCATCAGAACTGAGTACCTGGCAATGGCAAACTGTCAGGTGAGTGTATAGCCTACCACTGCAAGCGTCACCATATTACAACACTTAGATATCACATCTCAGGACATGACAAGTCTGTGCTCCTGAGGCACATCGACACTTTGTAGACCGGCCCTCTGTTGAAGAAGGGACAACAACGTCCCCTGGCCGTGTCTTGTAAGCACTTAGTTTGGTAGTGGTCAGTCGGACCGTAACGTCGCATGTTACACAGTCTGTCTACCGATGGGCTTATTTACGGCACTGTATATAGTTGTACGTATACATGTGTATGTTATTTCAGTCTTTGAGTATCATGACAGTGATGATTGCCCATATATAACGTTTACTGTGGCTCTGTTATGTATAAAATCCTGTCTTTCTCTGAATAACGGACACTCTGAAATCCCCAGTAAGATTGTACAAATATGTAACACTATTCTTTATGAATGAAAGAACAAACACATTTACCTCTGAGTCCTAATCGGGTTGGTATCAAGGATTTTGGTTATCATGATACTTTGTTCATGATTAGAGATATCACGACACTCTGAACATGATCATTTAGATATCACGACGCATTCATGACCAAAACAGGTAGCACATTCAATGTTTTCTCAACTCCATTTATCATTTCTCAAATATATCATACCGAAATTGACGATGTGCATTGAAAACAGGATTTGTTTAGGAGCGGCCATCTTGGGGAACACATGCAGAACGAAATGGATCTATATGGTGATCTTCATCCTGCATGCATGTTAATGCATTACATATACTGTGGACCTCTAAATATTATAATCTAAGTTATTCTACAATTCTAAGCCACAGATTACCTTTCACAAACTGTTCCAGGAATAAGTGATCTTTAAATAGGCATAATCAAACTTGACAACAGTTCATTCTATTTTTAATTAAATAAAAAATCGGTTTACTTTCTTTTGCCCCTGAGGTTAGATGTTTAGCAACACCCAAAATGTATATATAAGATATGTCATTGCTTTTATACACCAACAACAGCCATTTGTTTGATGTAACCGTTTGAATAAATGATGAGCTAAACAATTGGGTTTTTTGTCTTCAGTGCGTTAACTGCCACGAAATAACACATGGGGACTAATGTGATTATATAACAAACGACAGTGTAATAAGATGTGTGTTATCAACGTATTAAAGGTCAGTCAGATCAGGGACGTATTAAGGGTCAGTCAGATCACGTGGATGTTATCAACCATTTCACGGTCAATATGATGTGGCATGTGTTATCCAAGTAATAAGCCTGCTGATATGATTGGTGTTATCACTGTATCAAACGTCAGATCAGGTTGATGTTAACGTAATATACGACATCTGCGTGTTGACACTTAGACTGTTTAACGATAGACTTTGCTTCCTGACATAATGGTGCATACGTGAATATCATACACATGTATCAGTCGGCATTTGCTTCGTCACATAGACGTCAACATGTTAGCATCCGCTTATAGATCAGCATTGTCAGCCAGGTGAATCATTAGTGTTATCCAGTGAATCAAAGACGCATATAAGGTTTGATATCAGCCTGCTAATCAAAATTGCAATATATACATATACACTAAACGCCAAAAGAAACGTCACCCTCCTACCTTTATGAATTACTGCAAAACTATCAAAGATATGTGAGAAGGTATTAGTTTACAGGAAAACCTAACAACAAAGCTTTATGCAAATCACGAAAAGAAATTCTCAAATACATTCATATTTAGGTGAAAAGCATTTTTCAGAAGTGTTAAATTGTCCTATATTAGTCCATGTCGAAACAGTAATTTTGTTGTCCAAAAGAAAGGTTGAAATAAAATTCTGCTTTGGGACAATGATAAACCTTTTAAAGTCACTATTTTTCAAAACATTAAACAAGAAACAACTGTGTAAAATTGTAAAATAATCGTTCCTATGATTTCAGTCTTTCAAAACATTTTCTGCTGATTTGCATTAGTGAAAACAAGTAAAACGTGTCTTTGATATTGTGAAAAAATGTTTAGGAACATCTAAAATTGTCTTTGTTATCATTTTTGCTTGCAAAGTAAATTTTTTCCATTTTCTGTTTACACATAGCAATATCAATCGCCAAAACGCAGCAATACTCAGTACACTACAAGCAGTATTTGCATCCATTTCACATCTCGAATATTTCTATAGGGTATGAAGAGAGCCTAGAATACATGATGTGATACACAACTACGAGAAATATGCTACGATTAACAGCTGAAGAGAGAGAAAGAGCCATTGGGATGGTGCAGATGGGGTCGACATACAATGCTGTTGCCAACGCCCTCGGATGCCACCGTATTACGGTTTTAAGACTTATTCAGGGCTTCAGACAGACTGGGGTCACCGTAGACAGACCAAGACGTGGACATCCACGCATCACAACGCCAGCTGAAGATAGGTACTTCCGTCATTAAGGAAGGAGGGTATACGTTTCTTTTGGCGTTTACTGTATGTGTCGTCCGGTTATGAGCCTATGAATTAACATGGTGACATTCATGTTATCATGACGGGCTTACTATGGTCAAACAGGCGCAATCATAGTATTGGTCTGTGAATCAGTCAACGAATTGGCTTGGCCACATAGATGCTATCATAATTGTGGCCTGTGGCCTTTGAAGCAGCGTCTGAGTTTTGTCGTTATCGCCTTTAATTGCTATTGGTAACTCATGCACGTTGACGTGGGCAACACTTACACATGTTGACACCACCTCGGGGACGATTCGTGGGCCACATGACACCATACGATTTGTAATTACTTACCAATTCACCGTTGTCATTTGTTAAATTGTGATGTCAGCATGATTTCTTTTGATTTCACAAATATAGTGCATATAACTACTACACGAATACCATGCAGTGCCAGTACCCAATGCATATGTCTACCTTTACCGACTTACTGGTGGGTGTGGTCTGCGTTCGTCACAAGACGCCCCCAGCAAAGCAGACACCTATGATTAAATCTCTGCCTCAGATAGCTGTATTGTTTAAACGGTCGGCAAGACTCCGAACTTGCCTGGAGGCACTGGTTGTAGTGGATATATAGTGTGACATGCAATTCCCTTGTAGCAATAATGACCGCCTTCATGACCGGGCCATGACCAAACTATCTCCTGACTGTTCTGGCTGCGTCATCCCGCCCTGCTGGAATCTCCACCAACCACCAGACGTCACTTAAACCTGACAATTTGCTGCTTTTACCGACATTTCCAGGCATGTTGTAAACACGGTTTCTTGCGCATATCATTACTGCGCACTAATTCTGTAACAAAACTTGCTGTCCTGAATTCAACACCAAACATTATTGTCATAAAAAAATAAACACAGGTTACGGGAGAAGATCTTCTAAAATAGAATTCTTGGAATCGTCATGAGGAATGGTGTCAAACCCTCCCCTGCCCCTCCCACTGCGCGGCCCAACCCATGTAACTGTATCCCTGCTGTGACATGGCTATATTTACACCTGTGCTGCCCCATATAAGAACTGTAGTCTGTAGCACCTGTGTGTACATCTTCAGTCGGCGACTCAGGTAAGTTCACAGATCATTGTCATTCCTTCCAGGTCACACATGACATCCTTTTTAAGCCATATAATGTCACGATATATGAAGACCTATTTTGATTAATGGTAACATGTATGTTCATCAAGACGCTACGCTGAGTCTATAACGTTCTCAAACAGATTTATGTGAGTCTACTTTAAGAATCATTGGTGTTGACGAAAGGTGTGATTTTCAATCAACGGTTAGGAATACTGTTGTCAGGGTTACAAGTTATCTTGGTGTCACTGTTCTTATGCTGTATAGTTTGGATGAACGAATGTAATTGTTTATATTCCATCCCCTGGTGATCGTGTACAACAAGCGATACTCTCATCCTGTCTACTACATGACGCAATACACAATGTTCTATTGGTAATGTTCTCCGAGGTGATTCCACAGGGAGGCGTAGAACGTATATGTAGCAGTACACCCCTTTGGCAGATACGTATGGTAAACCTGACGAGGCTTCTGGTAGACAGACGTACATGTGTGTGACCAATCCTGCTGCTTGATGCAGCTCTTTCATGATTTGATGAATCCTCCTGGTGGATATATGTGACATGTACCATGCACTCTAACATACGTATTGATAGCTGCGTCTAACATACGTATTGATAGCTGCGTCTAACATACGTATTGATAGCTGTGTCTAACATACGTATTGATAGCTGCGTCTAACATACGTATTGATAGCTGCGTCTAACATACGTATTGATAGCTGCGTCTAACATACGTATTGATAGCTGCGTCTAACATACGTATTGATAGCTGTGTCTAACATACGTATTGATAGCTGCGTCTAACATACGTATTGATAGCTGCGTCTAACATACGTATTGATAGCTGCGTCTAACATACGTATTGATAGCTGCGTCTAACATACGTATTGATAGCTGCGTCTAACATACGTATTGATAGCTGCGTCTAACATACGTATTGATAGCTGCGTCTAACATACGTATTGATAGCTGCGTCTAACATACGTATTGATAGCTGCGTCTAACATACGTATTGATAGCTGCGTCTAACATACGTATTGATAGCTGCGTCTAACATACGTATTGATAGCTGTGTCTAACATACGTATTGATAGCTGTGTCTAACATACGTATTGATAGCTGCGTCTAACATACGTATTGATAGCTGCGTCTAACATACGTATTGATAGCTGCGTCTAACATACGTATTGATAGCTGCGTCTAACATACGTATTGATAGCCGCGTCTAACATACGCGATAGCTAACATACGTATTGATAGCTGTGTCTAACATACGTATTGATAGCTGCGTCTAACATACGTATTGATAGCTGCGTCTAACATACGTATTGATAGCTGCGTCTAACATACGTATTGATAGCTGTGTCTAACATACCTATTGATAGCTGCGTTCATATGTGCAATGTAGTTTTCTGGCAAATGCATCTGATTTATCAGAGACATTATTCGGGTTAATGTTATATTTTTTTGCATTTTTCTGTGCACTTATCTATGGAAGAAACTCCAAGTTCACAAGTACAAAACATATATTTATTTTTTTAATTTAATTTTAATTTCACTTTTAGTAAAATATATCAAATTACTGCCAAAATTAATAATGTGTATGTGTTCATGGACTTGCGTCTTGGATTCCCTGTTACTTTAAACACATAACGATATAGGAGTGTAATCAGAAAAGTAATAAAATGTTAATTTTAATGTTAAAATATATTTATGGATGTGTGGAATGCCCAAATGCCCGTTGTTTGCTTAATGTTGAGTATGTGGATGTAGAAACATATTCCGTACTTGAATTGCCATCATTAAGTGTATGTGGTGATGTGATCACATGTCTCTGGTTGCAGTACAATCACCATATGCATGTTGAGAAAAGTTCCACATGCCCGTGTTTGTATTACAGTAAGCACATGTCTGTGGTGTAACGTTCACAAGCTCGTGTTTGTATTACAGTAAGCACATGTCTGTGGTGTAACGTTCACAAGCCCGTGTTTGTATAACAGTAAGCACATGTCTGTGGTGTGACGCTCACAAGCTCGTGTTTGTATTACAGTAAGCACATGTCTGTGGTGTAACGTTCACAAGCCCGTGTTTGCATAACAGTAAGCACATGTCTGTGGTGTGACGCTCACAAGCTCGTGTTTGTATTACAGTAAGCACATGTCTGTGGTGTGACGCTCACAAGCTCGTGTTTGTATTACAGTAAGCACATGTCTGTGGTGTAACGTTCACAAGCTCGTGTTTGTATTACAGTAAGCACATGTCTGTGGTGTAACGTTCACAAGCTCGTGTTTGTATTACAGTAAGCACATGTCTGTGGTGTGACGTTCACAAGCCCGTGTTTGTATTACAGTAAGCACATGTCTGTGGTGTGACGCTCACAAGCTCGTGTTTGTATTACAGTAAGCACATGTCTGTGGTGTGACGCTCACAAGCTCGTGTTTGTATTACAGTAAGCACATGTCTGTGGTGTGACGCTCACAAGCTCGTGTTTGTATTA